ACGTGCTCCTCGAAGTCGTCATCTGCCCGCACTGAGAGCAGGATGGACAGATCCTCCTCTTGCAGGGGGGGCACTCGGGCTTGCTCTCAGCCCAGCACAGGATGCAGGTGTCACAGAGCTGGAGGAGGCCTGGCAGCACGTAGCTGTGTCCTCCCAGCTGCCCAGACTGATGGGACAGCGGGTGTCCAGCTCCATGGCCACGCTCTCCATGTGCTGCAGGGGCTGGGGGAGCTGGGGATGTTGAGCTGCTCCCTCTCACGGGGGCGCTGTTGTGCTAGGAAAGGAAGAGAGGCCCCGGTCATGGGCTGGCCTGGGGAGGGTGTGAAAAACACCCAGGTCCCAGCGGAAGGAAACCCTGCCAGCTCCTCGGGGTGAGGTTTCCCCTGCCAGCTCACCTCTGCTGCTGCCAGCCTGTCCCCTGGGTGCCCTGGCTGCCTGCAGCTGGCCCATTAATGGCTCTGAGGCCAAGGGTGAAGAACTCCCAGGAAAAGGTCCACGATTGCAAGACGAGCTTCAAGGGATGCTGACAACTCCAGCCTCACTAAGCCTCACCCAGCTGGAGTGCTGGTAACTGGGTGGAACTCCAAATATTCCATCACTGCTCCCTCCTCATCTGATTGAGCAGCACGAGAACCTATGGCTTGGAGACTTCACCACTTCACCTCTCAGTGTTTCATGACAGGCTGTCCTACCCATGGTCCTTGTCCAAATATCACGGTACCCCAGTGTGCAGATCAGAAGGTGCTGGGGCACCTCACAGCACACCCCACTGCCTCTGGGGAAGGCATCAAGGGAATGGGGACAGGCTCTTCCCAGCACTGCCAGGTGGGAGGGTGACAGATGGTGGCATCTCCTGAAACTAGAGAGGTTCAGGCTGGAAACAAGGAGTCAAAACCAAAATCCTTGTGAGCATATGAAGCACTCGGGTGGGTTGCCCAGAGAGATTGTGTGGTCTCTGAGCCCAAAGGTCAGCCTTCAAGACCTGAATGACCACTACCCAGAGTACTCAGGTCTGTGGTCATTGTTGACCTTGACCTGAGCCAGTAGTTGGACAAGAGACCTCCTTAGTCCCCTTCAAGTAGAAGCATTTCTGTGGTTTGGTGACTGGTAGGACCAGGGATGAAGAGGGACATCTGAGCATGAAAACCTCAGGACAGGCAAAAAAGGGCTGTGAGAGGGGCAGGTGTTGATGGCACCTACACTAGCACTTCATCAGGATCACATCTACGTGCTCCTTCTCAGAACACCAAGCAGGGACAATCCAGGGGATATAAAGTGATCTGCAAAAGTTGCGTCTCTTGTCACCTGTCTCTTGTCCAAGCAGGCCTCGCCCACCTCTCGGCAGCAGGGCAGCCTGGCAGGCCCAGCAGCTCCTGGGCCTTCCTGATGCCCCATTGCATGGGGGACTCAACAGATGGGTGCAAAAATGTTGCCACAGGGTTTTGGGGGGAGGCCCCCTGGAGCTGGTTCAGTATGTCTTCATCCAGCCTGAAGAGGACCAGAAGGGGCATAGTAAGATCTTTTGCCACCTCTGCCACAGAACTCTGATTCCGAATGGACAATTCCAGCTACTGAAGGATCCAGAGCAGAAGGGCCTGCAGGAGAGCTGGGTGTTCCTGGAAAAAGCTGCCCAAATGCTGGGCTGCAGGCCACCGAGGGGAGCCCTGGGCACCAGCCCTGCGGGCTGCTGTCCTGTTGCTGCACACCTGTGGGCAGCTGGATGGGCAGGCCTTCCTCCTGATCAGCAACGGACACCTGATGGACCTGCAGGTGGTGTGATGACGTGCTCCTCGAAGTCGTCATCTGCCCGCACTGAGAGCAGGATGGACAGATCCTCCTCTTGCAGGGCGGGCACTCGGGCTTGCTCTCAGCCCAGCACAGGATGCAGGTGTCACAGAGCTGGAGGAGGCCTGACAGCACGTAGCT